ATCCCACATATAAATACTTTTTCTTTATTGATAATATAATAATTGTTGTTTTTATGATATATATTTTTTTTTTTTAGATTTTGTCTAAATCATTATCTTTGCTTTGGATTCTTTTAGCAGGCATTTATTGTGAAGCAAATATAATTTGCAGATCAAATTTCCGCACAAAAAAGCAACAATTATCATTAACAATATATTTGTAAGATACACGTCAACATTATTGGTCTCTACTTTATTAATTATCATTATCTTTGCTTTGGATTCTTTTTAGCAGGCATTTATTGTGAAGTAAATATAATTTGCAAATCAAATTTCCGCACAAAATAGCAACAATTATCATTAACAATATATTTGTAAGATACATGTCAACATTATTGGAATCTGCTTTATTAATTATCAAAATTCCACTGTTTTGTTTTTTTGTCAATTATAACTGGTGTTTCATGATTTGGTATATCAATTTAACTTATACTATTTATTCTCATTACTTATTTGTTTTCATTTTTATATTAAATTTTTAAGTTTATTTTTCGTTTTTAGAATTTAAGACTTTTTTTAAATTTTAATTTTACAATTTTCTACCTTTTTTGTATAGCTTTACGGGCTATAAATCTAATTGGGCAGAGAGAGTTTCGCTCAACTTAACAAATGCATATTATTTACTAACACTATTAAAAATTGCTGGAATTATGAGACCCTTTCGCATCTTCTGGGCGTCGCCGGTCTGTCGCAGGTGTACTGACAATGAACGCTGCCTAAGGGGGATGGAGGTTTCGTTAATATTTTTTCATTTAAAATAAATATTTTCTTTGTTGTGAGTGAGTGGCGATTCTTCTTTTTTTCGAGACTCGATTTTAGAAAATCAAGCTCGGTTTGTAATTTTGGGTGTAGCCCACGTTGGAGGTGTTGAACTGCTGCAGATATTTATCTCCGAGAGCGGCGCGCACAGAGAGACAGAGAAGAAATATGTGCATAAATGGATATAATTGTTGCCGTCGCCAACTGTGGGAATAAGCTGGCGCGACTTATCACTCGCCGATGGTGTGAGTGGACAAATTACGTTTGCACTGGAAGATTGCTGATCCTGCAGATTTGGCTAACATTGTTGTCGATGGTACAGTGTGTAATCTGTATGCATGCACATTACACCACATCTCACTAAAGAACCAAGTAGATCGTTCCTCCCAACGACCCAGCAGCCCCGATACCACTAAGAAAGCAGTGATTTTCTCGGCCCTCCCGCAGCGTCGGTATCACTCAGAAAGCAGTCCTATACTCGGCCCCTTAGCACCGTCCAACATCAATATAGCAAGCAGTGCTACCCTCGGTCATTCAGCAGCGTCGGTATCACTCAGCAAGCAGTACCACATTCGGCCCTCCCATAGCGCCGAGGTAATTAAATTTAGAGACGTAGCCCCTAACCAACCGTTTTATTAAATATATCCATACTCTGTAGTGTTCAATTGGTTTATTCTTTGGGGAAAGGAAGTAAATTGATTTAAAGAGGAAATACATTTCTATCCCAAACCTTGGCCACGGCGAGCTATACCTCCTCCCGAAACAGGGTCGTTACAGTGTATCAAGAGCAGCGGGGAGCACACTTATAATTAATTGCTTGCTCTTATTTTGTGAGGGTTATTTGCACAGAGTACTTATCAATGTGTGTGTAAGGTTTTATACTGTTCGTGTCGTGCTTTGCCCCTGATCTGCACAACATTTAATTGACAAGTGTATTACCTATAACAATTTTCAAGAGTAATTTATACGACTTAGCAATTTTTTTGTAAACCAAAATCAGTGGTAATTAAAAAAAATTGTACAAGATTATTAACTCTTAAAATATTGGACGAAATCTTTGTTAAATGCTATATAAGTTTTGGTTCATCCCATTTTGACGAAAGAATTAGGTTTACGAAAGGTGTGTTTCCGTTTTATACCGAACAATTGTACTGACGACCAAAAATTTTCCGAATTTAATATTGTAAGTTCTTATTTAAAAAATCGAAACTGGTAGAAAACACCATGTGTTATGACTGGTAATTTGGCTCAGCGGCTTATCCGATATACTATAAGAGCCTTTGACACAATTCCCTAAAATATTTTGACTCTTAAAGGCATATAATTTTAAGGTTAATCAAATCGTAATTTTAAAATAATAGACTAAATATATGATTCCTAATATTTGCTTTTTTTTAATTTCAGAATGCTGAATCCCTAAGTGCCAAATGTTGTTTTTCTCAGCAACATACGATAAAGAAGTTATGGACTTTGCTCGCCTAATTGTAGTAGATCCCACTATAATAAGGTATAATATTACATATTACATATTTTTTTTAAAGGTAAATGTGAAGGGATTTCGCGGTTGAGTTTAGTCAGCATTCCTGACAAGGCTTACCCGATTAAATTTTATGTTCTCTCATTGCTGCAAGTATCAAAATCAAAGGCTTCAGAGTGAACACTGTAGAAATATACCTGCAGGTTGCTTCAGTGACAACGTTAGTTACTTGGGGTTAGTACTAGACAGGCGTCTAAAGTGAAGACTGAAAAAACCAAGCGAGAACAAGAAAAACAACAATTGTTCTTTACATCTGTAAAAAGCCATCGAGAGGAAATCATCAACTGCAATACATAGCCATAGTCAAGCCCATTCCGCTCTACGGAATATCAATGTAATGGACTGCGATAAACAAGCAAACAATCACAGCAAACCTTAACAAGGTTCAACGGATGGAATCCCTTTGCATAAGCGGTGCCCTTCCCAGTACTCCAAATTATGGACTTAGCCGGGCTTAGCCGGCGGCGGTTCGTTTGGAGACACTGTGCAAAGGAAATAAGATCACACCTCCTTATAAAGCCTGTACACAAGTCGAGAAGACTGGGAGCACTGGGGCCTACACAATCTGTCAGCATCTACTCTGATGGCTATGAACTAGAGAACCACATCGGCGGAGGTATAATCAACTTAAAATCAGGAAATCTTACAGACTTCCTGATCACTGCAACGTCTTCCATTCGGAATTATATCGATAAGCACTTATGCAAGTATACAATGCCAACTGTCAAAAAATATGGATCAACATCTATAGGGATAGCCAAGCGGTTATACGATCTATGCGACCAACACAAGCTCCCAGACAATATTAAACTGTCGCAGATTTCTGAGCGAGATGGCTACGCAGTTAAGCATCAACCTGAATGGGTCCCCGGTCACCGGAACATCGCAAGCAACTGTATAGCTGACGAGCTAGCAAGACATGGTACTACCATCTATCTTCCGGATAAGGAGAACACTGTTATGCCGATGGCCCATTAGGTTCGGTTAGGCTAGAGCAGCTGTCAATTTTATGGACACACTTAGACCTCGAAGGTCCATTGTGATACCGCGTGGATCTGTGTCCCCTTTCTATATTATTGTCTGCTGCCCTTACACGCTGACCTAGCATAGCTCCCCATGCGGTTGCTTTCATGAATTTATTATTTATTATTTATTATTCGCCTTAGGCTTATATTCGCCAGTTCAGATAGACTGCTCATGAAGGGATTCCCTAAGTGATACAGTCTGGATCAGAACACAACAGGTGTTCCACCTTTTCCTCCTCCTCCTCATCCCTGCAGCTTCTGCAGAAATCGTTTTGGGGCGCGCCCAGTCTGCTTGCATGTGTGCCGACCAACCAATGGCCTGTAAGCACTCGTATTAGCATTTCGCGCTCGGTAAGGTTTAGCTTTAGAAGTTGAGAATTTCTCTTCGCATCAATAATTGGCCATGTCTGGCGAGAGACGCGACAATGCCTTACATGCTGGGCTCGCAAGTTCTTTATATTTGTCCAGCCCAATCAAATCTTGTCCCGCGTGATGTCCGCAAAGACAGGTTTGGTCCAGGCAATTCAAGAGATCGCTGCCTCTTCGGCTGTGCGTTCTTTGCACTAGGCCTCTCTTGGCCATAATTTGGAAACATATTTCTCGCCCACTCCACCTTCTTTAACCATTCGAATGAGGGGTTGGCGATCTTGCTCCTGTTCTGTAAGCGGAGTGTCTGCGCGGCAGTCCGCGTCTCCGTATATGTAAATTTGCTTTTTGCTCGGTGGGTGGAGCGACAGTCTTAGCCGCACCTTCTGCAGTTTTTAGCGCCGACGCGCACTTTGCAGAGGTGCTGGCGGCCGACTGTGTTCCGCTGACCCCAATTTGGGATGGGACCCTTTCGAGATAGCCCCGAGCAGGTGCCAGCACAGGCGGAACCAACGCTCGCAGATCCTGTCTCCAGCGTGGTGTTGTTATTTTGTGGTATTTATTGTTTTTTGTTGGTGTCCAATATTTGAATCCCACGAGTTGCGGAGAAAGGGAAGGTCCACCCGGGCAGAGATCCGCGATGCCCGGTTAAGGCGATAGTTAGAACAGGGGTCGCCATCTCCCTGAACCCAGAGTTTGAGACTGAGCTAGTTGTTAACCCGGGCCCTCAGCCAGACTGACTCTCGGCACGGTTCGACTTATACCTTAGTCCGGCCCGGGGCCGATAGACCATTATAGGCGCAAAAAAAAACGAAAACGTCGAAATTAAGACTCTACCGTACCGAGTGCGGAATGATGCTTCTGCAGAAACTGCAGAGACGAAGGAGAAGAGGAAACGGAGGAACTCCTGTTCTGTTCCATTCCGGCTCTAGGCAGTCTGAGATTAATTCACCTAGGTAATCTCTTCATAATAAATCTCTCAGAACTGGTGTATTACAAAATAAAAGCAACGACGCTTATAACAGAATTAGTAATAAACTCAAAAAATTAATGATATGATACAATAGAAGTGCATCAATGTTTCTTAATAGTGTCACCATAATAAAAAGCTCAATGAGCGACGAACCAAATAAAGAGCGTCGAAGCCCGTGACCCGAAGATGCAGGTTGCTTCTCGAAAATATCAACATTCTTCACTTACTTTACTCACTTTACTTACTTTACTTACTTTACTTACTTTACTTACTTTACTACTTTACTTGCTTTGCTTACTTTACTTTGCTTTACTTGCTTTCTTTGCTTGTACTTTGACTTTACTTGCTTTGCTTGCTTTGCTTGCTTTGCTTGCTTTGCTTTGCTTTGTGCTTTGCTTTGCTTGCTTTGCTTGCTTTGCTTAGCTGCTTGCTTTGCTTGCTTTGTACTTTGCTTGCTTTGCTTTGCTTTGCTTGCTTTATTGCTTTGCTCCTTGCTTGCTTGCTTTTGCTTTAGCTTGCTGTAGCTTTATTGCTTTGCTTGCTTTAGCTTGCTTTGTTACTTTATTGCTTTCTCTTGCTTTGCTTGCTTCTTGCTTTGCTTGCTTTGCTTGCTTTGCTTGCTTTGCTTTACTTCTTGCTTTATTGCTGTAGCTTTGCTTGCTTTGCTTGCTTTCTTTGCTTTATTGCTTTGCTTGCTTTGCTTACTTTTGCTTTATTGCTGTGCTTTGCTTGCTTTTGCTTTGCTTGCTTTGCTTTTAGCTTGCTTTACTTACTTTCTTTGCTCCTTGCTTGCTTTGCTTTGCTTTGCTTAGCTTTGCTTTGCTTACTTTTGCTTTAGCTTGCTTTGTTGCTTTGCTTGCTTTGCTACTTTACTTGCTTTGCTTACTTTACTGACTTTGTAGCTTTGCTTGCTACTTGCTTTGCTTGCTTCTGTGCTTTGCTTGCTTTACTTGCTTTACTGACTTTTACTTGCTTGCTTCTTGCTTTTCTACTTTTGCTTTGCTTGCTTTGCTTGCTTCTTGCTTGCTTTGCTTACTTTGTGCTTCTATAACTTTATTGCTGTACTTTATGCTTTGCTTGCTTTGCTTGCTTTGCTTGCTTTAGCTTACTTTGACTTGCTTTTCCTTGCTTTTAGTTGCTTAGCTTTGCTTGCTTGCTGCTTGCTTTGTACTTTTGCTTGCTTTATTGCTTGCTTTGCTGCTTTGCTTTGCTTTGCTTGCTTTGCTTTGCTTGCTTTGCTGCTTTGCTTAACTTTGCTTGCTTTATATTATGCTTTCTTGCTTTGCTTGCTTTGCTTTGCTTTGCTTTAGCTTGCTTGCTTTGCTTGCTTTGCTTTGCTTTGCTTGCTTTGCTTGCTTTGCTTGCTTTGCTTGCTTTGCTTGCTTTGTAGCTTTGCTTGCTTTATTGTACTTTGCTTGCTTTGCTTGCTTTATTGCTTTACTTGCTTTTTGCTTTGCTTGCTTCTTGCTTTGCTTGCTTTGCTTGCTTTCTTACTTTGCTTGCTTTGCTTGCTTCTATGCTTTGCTTGCTTAGCTGTACTTTGCTTGCTCTTGCTTTGCTTGCTTCGTGCTACTTGCTTTGCTTTACTTTGTGCTTTAGCCTTGCTTTGCTTGCTTTGCTTGCTTTGTACTTTGCTGTGCTTTTTGCTTTGCTTGCTTTGCTTTATGCTGTGCTTTGTGCTGTGCTTGCTTGCTTTGCTTGCTTTGCTTGCTGCTTAGCTGTTGCTTTGTTACTTTGCTTGCTTTGCTTCTTTTACTTGCTTTACTTCTTTGTTGCTTTGCTTGCTTTGTAGCTTGCTTTGCTATGCTGCTTGCTTTGTGCTTTACTTTGCTTTGCTTGCTTTGCTTGCTTTGCTTGCTTTGTGCTTTACTTTACTTTGCTTTGCAACTGCTTGCTTTACTTGCTTTACTTGCTTTGCTTGCTTTGCTTGCTTTGCTTGCTTTGCTACTTTGCTTGCTTTGCTTGCTTTTACTTGCTTTAGCTGCTTGCTTTTTTGCTTGCTTTGTACTTTACTTGCCTTGCTTACTTTGCTTGCTTCTTGCTTTGTAGCTTTCTTACTTTGCTTGCTTTCTTTGTAGCTTCTGTGTGCTTTGCTTGCTTTGCTTGCTTTGCTTTGCTTTGCTTGCTTTGACTTTGCTTACTTTGCTTGCTTTACTTAATTTGCTTTATACTTTGTACTTTGCTTGCTTTGCTTACTTTTGCTTTACTTGCTTTGTAGCTTCCTTGCTTTGTAGCTCTTACTTTTGCTTACTTTGTACTTACTTTGCTTGCTTTGCTTGCTTTACTGCTATGCTTGCTTTTCTTGCTTTGACTTTGCTTGCTTTTACTTTACTTTGCTTGCTTTGCTTGCTTTTCTTGCTTTGCTTACTTTGTGCTTTGCTTCTTTTGCTTGCTTTGCTTACTTTGCTAGCTGCTTTATGCTTGCTTTGCTTGCTTTGCTTGCTTTGCTTGCTTTCTTCCTTGCTTTGCTTCTTACTTTGCTTTGCTTGTTATGCTTGCTTTGCTTGCTTTGTGCTTCCTTGCTTTGCTTTAGCTTGCTTGCTTTGTTGCTTTGCTTGCTTTGCTTTGCTTGTACTGTTGCTATGCTTTGCTTTGCTTGCTTTGCT